GATGCCTCGCCATGGTCTGCTTCGGAAGCCTCAGCATGGGCGGCCAGGAACAGCAGCTGCTGTCGCGGCTCCAGCGGAGCTGGGTTCTCCAAGCAGGGGATGGTAATCCCAAACTCGACGACCGTGGAGTACACCATGGTGACCTCGGAAGGCTCGCTGGTGGGCTTGCACCAGAAAAATGGAATCAAGCAAGCTGGGCTGTCTGCTTCGAACTGGAGATTCTGGCGGAATGGCCCAATCGTCCAGGTGTGCCCGCCATGCTCGATGAGAAGCTTGGTCTCCTTCGTGGTCGGCTTGGCTTTGTTCACCATGCCCAGTGGAACCAAACGAATTGTTTTGCGAATTGCCTTGGTCGCCAACAACCCTTGGGGGTTCTGACCGAAAGCGATGGTCTGTGCATCCAGATGGTGCCTTTCCGCCGCTTTGTGGAGAGCAAGCTGGACCTCTGACCTGGCCCGCTCCTCCAACAGAATCTTCGCCGTCATGCCTTCCCTGGCAAGTTCCTCTGGGCACAACATGGGCATGAGGGCCTTGGTGGCCTTCCACGTCGGCAGCTTCTGCAAAGGCACGTGGACTTCTTCCTGGTCATGGAAGAGCGGCTTGTGAGTCATGGTGGCATGGTCGTCTGTCATGTCGGTCAACTCGAAGACCTTGGCGCCGTGGTCCTTGTTGGTATACCTTAGCACTTCATGCCATGTGCACATCAAGGAGAATACTCATATACATCGATACATGCTCATATGTATACTCTTAATAAGTGTATACATCGCCTCTGGCTTCAATCAGCAACTGCTAGCTTCCTCTCCAAGCAACAACTTGCCCAATTCCATATGATGGTTTTGGAGCATGGCTATGGTCTTGTGGCTGGCCGCCAAGACATCCGTGACCTGCATGTCCGTCTGGGTCTTGGCCTGGTCCGCACTGCTGGCATCTGCCCCCGAGGGGTCATGGATTTCCTTCGTGTAAGCAGTCAAGATGGCTTGGAGAGATAGCCAGTGGTTTTTCTCCCGACTTTGCTTTTGTTTGTTCGTCAGGAACAAACAAACTCTCACTGCAAATCGGCCAAAGCACTTGGTTAAGTGGGCCGAATGGTGCTGCTGGCCGCCCAGCAAACTTTGCTGGAGTTTCCATGAGTCCTGGAGCATCTCCTCAGCCTGGATCACTTGGGCAATCATCCCTGGCGACTTGAGCTTTTGGAGGTCGTTGACCGTCAGGATCCGGCTGAATCCATCTTGTGCCCTCGGCGATGTCAGCATGCAGGCCCAACAGGCAACCCTGATCATGGGAAATATGCAAGTGGCCTGGCGGAAGTCCAGCGTGGCGAGGGTGGACATAAGCTCCGTGCCGACGAGGAGAGTTGCATTGAACTGTTTGGAAAAATTGGCAAGGAAATGCAACAGTGGGAACCCTTGGGAGCCGCCGCCGAAGTTTTGGACAAATTTGGCGATGGCGGGGACACTCGCACGGCATCGCACGTCGCCTTGGCTGGCCTGCTGGATGGCATCTGGAAGAGACAAGCCCTTCTCAAAAGCAGTGGCGACATGGAGTGCCACCTCCAACTCGTTGATCGCTTTGGAGATTGAGTTGGACGAGTTGGCCGCCATCTGTATAAAGTTGGGAATTGTGGGATGGCTTCTTCAATGGATGCTGCCAGAACGACCCAGCACCATCCTTGCTCGATTGCTTGCCAGGCGGGGTCGGACTTCGCTGTGGAGCAGTGGTACCCCTCGGGTCCTTGGATGCCGTTTTGCAGGCAGCGGAGGAAGGCGACGCTGTGGCTCCCCGCAAGGCTGAGAAAGCCTGCCGTTGAAGGAACCCCTGCAACCACAAATCTCGTATTCTCTTCAAGCACAAAAAGAAAAGCACTAAAAGCAAAGCGTGCACTACCCAGGGGCCTTCTTGGCCGGAGACTGGTGCGAGGTGCCCCTTGGCTTCCGAGACAAGTTGGCGGTTGGCCTGCACCTGCCTCTTGGTCTCGGCAGTGGCCAGTTGGGTACAGATTGTCTGGCCGTCTAAGAGCTTCTTCTGGAATCCCACGGAACACATCTGGGTCCCTTTGGACCAAACATCATGAAAGGATACCATGCTTTTCCCCCTGTTCTCTGGGTGGACGAGGATTTGGGCCGGGGTCAGCACCTGGTCATGGGCCAACCCATGGGCTCGCAGAAGCTGCACGATGGTGTCAACCTTGGAGTTGACTGGCGCTGTGGAACCCATCACAGCCTCCACTTCCTGGACAACCTTGTCTGGCACTCCGGCCATGGCGAGTGGTGCAGGCCAAAGTGGCGAAACCGCAACTGGGCAGTCTGGGGCCAAAGCCTACATAGAAAGGAGAAACTTGAAGTGTGCACAAATCCTCCCTCTTACTCTCATGGGCATGAGGGACGAACTCGCACTGCCGCTTTTTTTGAAACCCAAGCGGTCGCAGCTGCAGCGGTCGGCAGGCTACTGGCTCTTCTTGGCCCTCTTCCTCTTGGGCCCTGACTCCATGTGGGCTTGCAAAGCAGCAACATTGGCCCGAATATGGTCCACGATGGCGCAGAGAATGTTGGAATCCAGTGGGACTGCTATATCCGCAGCTTTGGGACGGCTCTTGTCAGGAGGGATGAGACATGGCACAGTGGTGTTGCCCACATAGATGTTCACCGTCTCTGGCAAGTTCTGGATTTTCCGCCTGCTGGCTTTGGGGCGGTCTTGGTCTTCGAAGAGGTTGTCGCCGTCGCCCTGGTCCTCTTGGCCTCCCATGGCATGATGGCGATCCAGCTGCTCATTTCGCTTCTCGACGAGCTTCTGGAATGGTTCGTAGAATGTCAGAGAAGCCCTGGATGGATTCTTGGCCCCTGTCAAGAATTGGACAATGGGCAGGGAGCTGGCCCTCATTTGGAGATACTTCTGGCCATCTGCTCCTTTGTGGATGAGGTACTCTGGAATGGTCACAAATGGCTCGTTCTGGTATTTCAGAATCACCTGCGAGTCGACGGTGACCATGGCTTCTAGGAAGAAGGGGCACAGTGGATTCGTTCGCTTGAGCTTGGAAACCTCGCCAAGAAAAAATGGATTCTCACAACACACCTGGCATGTTCCTGTCTGAATGTCAACTTCCAAGCCACGTGGCGGTCTGGCACTTCCAGGCCAACATGATTTCGGGCTGAGAAATACATTGGCTTGGTCTTTGGTTTTGGCATGGTTAGGAAGCTCATGCCCAAACCTGCCCTTGGAGTTCCAACAAAATCTCTCCACGTTCGCTCAAAAAAACTTCGCAAAAAGTTGGGCGCATGCAGAAATATATGTATACAGAAAGCTTTTCGTGCTGGCCACAAAAGCAAGTCTACTGTTCCGAAAAAGCCATTACTGTTCTCCAGAAATGCCATGTAAACATGTAGAAAAACGTTTCGTGCTGGCCACAAAAGCAACTCTACTGTTCCGAAAAAGCCATTACTGTTCTCCAGAAATGCCATGTAAACATGTAGAAAAACGCATATGTAAAACCTTAGTTAAAAAGTTAAAAAAATAACAACTAGTTAGCGGACTTAACTTACTTAGCTAAAAAACTAATTTTATTACATAACATGACATAACACATCTCATCTTTTAACCATAGTTCTACAGACTTAATACATACTTAGTATAGTATTAACATACACTTATAACCAGTTCGTAACACACTTATATTCCACCCTATCTTGCCTATGTCCTTATAACGCAGCGAGGATTCCAAGTGGGGACAGTTGCCCTGGACGGGTCGCTGGCAGGGACCGGGACTTGGGACCCTGTCCAGGCTGGTCCCAGTCTGGCGCGGCTTGACTCGACGTATTGGACCCTCAGAATAGATCCAGGGATCCTCTACTAGCACAAGGATTAACGGAAAAGTCAGACAGATGGCATCTCGTCCGTCAATGACCGCTTGGGCCGGTTTGTGCCCCAAGTCACGTTGAGCTGGTCCTAGAAACAAGGCCGTCGGTGCCCCTCAACCGGTCGCAGGGAGTGACTGGGACTTGGGACCCTGTCCAGTGTCCTGAAACACGGGTAAACAGCGACATTGGAGGAAACAGCGGTTTGAGGTGGCACCACCAGTCCTGAAAGGTCCTGGTCCCGCGACGCTTTGGCTGACTACAAGTAATCTGAAGCAGCAGAACCAGGGTTCCAGGACCAGTCCCAGGACCGGTCCCAGGCACCGGTCCTGGGAATCCACTTTTTGTGCTCTCGGGCGTGTCCCAGGAACCATCATGGATTCCAATCACTTCCAGTTGCATCCCACGCCGGTCCCCTCTGCAGGAGGCTGGGACGGGAGGCAGAGGGTCGGCGGATTTAAAGTCGAGTTGAACTTCGAGCTGCTTGGTTGTGCTCATTGTTTGAGTCACGGCAAGCGCCAAGTTTAGTCGTTGTGTGCAGGCGGGCAACCAAACGTTTCAACTCTAAGTTTGGGAAAAGAACCCGATTCTGTTTCTCCTGACGGTCATAGATCGTACCTTCGACGCACCCGCTCTACCTGACAAGGGGTCCCTTCAAGAGGAAATTGTCTTCCAGGTACCCTATGGTTCGGCAAGTGGCGCGTAAATGTGAAAGAGGATCTGAGTACCTGTTCCTGTTTGGTCCGTTTCTAGTCCCAAAAGCTTGACCGTTGATTTCCATGTCCTCTGGGCCGGTCAGCAGTACCTACCTTTGGAGGGACTTGACTCCAGTATGTCAGCTGGGGTGACCATGGCGCGGGGAGCTATTTTTTTGCACGACCCACAGGTTTAGATTTTAGATACCCCATATACATGTTTTTTACATTCCCTTACGCATATATTATCATATGGCCATAGGTCAAAGCAACGTACCCCCAGTGAACATCCCAATCCCCACTAAAAAAGATTGGCATGGGTGGTGTACCTACCCCAAAATAGTACCATTGGTTTTGACCCACGGCCATATACCCTTATTCCCCTTAAAACAAAATGGGTCAAAGCCATGGGTCCTGAGCTAGACATGTCACAGCCCGCGCGGCCCGTGCCCAGTCGCCGCGTTTGTGTGGCTGCCTCAGTCCGGGGCGAGTCGCAAATGGGGAGGGGTTCCATCGGCTGGGGCAGGTGCCTGGCATTCCATGGGACCCCAAAATCAGTTTATCCAGGGGCTTCAGCTTACGTCGTGTGATGGTCGTTTTGCACAGCATCTTGGCGCATTTGGTAGAACCTATTTGGGTCCAAAGCAAAGCAAGCGTGCGGCAACCACTCAAAGCGGGCGGTACCACTTCCATTGTATATTTGTAAAACATACAATTAAACACACTGGTCCGACGTATATTCGACTAACAGCTGGCATATGTTCCTGAAATTGGTTTACCCACCTTCCCTCTCTCATATTAGCAAGAGCATTGCCAGACTTGCCGTCTTGCCCTGTTGCCATGTTGGGTTGGCTTCATGTTCTCTTGAGCAAAAGGTTGGGTTGCAATCCTGGCCCAGTTTCAGGCAGTTCAGACCACGATGTTCCAATTGAGGGCCCCAGAAGGTGCGACCGCGGCACGGGTGGAAACGGCCCCCTCGGCACCTTGCGCCAAGGCGGTGAGCGTGTCGAGCGCCCGCGCCGCCGGAGCTGTGGCTGGGGGGCTGAGATGAAAGGTCCGAGTTTCGGGAAGTGCAAAATGGACTACAGAAAGAAGGGTACTTATTCTAACCTCTTTACTGGAGGACCTAGGCGCCCTGCTTCCCAGTTTGAGCAGGGTTTCCGGGCCATTTTCCTTTGAAGGGACCTCCGGAAGGTGAAATCCAGTGAGGCCTGTTGAGAGAGGAGTGCAGGTTGGCCAGTGGCTCGCGCTTGATTTTGTGCGTTTGGTTTTCAATTTTCCCACTTGGCTAGAGATGATGCAGGGGTGCTCAAAGAGGTCCCGTTGGGGGGATTCACAGAATTGTCACCTGTTCGGCCATCTGCAAATCAACATGCGCCGTGGCCAAGGGCGCGTATGAGGACCCCGATTGATAGAAGTCCTCCGCCTGAAATGGCCTAGCCTTGGGAATTCTCTCGGGGGTTGGCAACCTCACACTTCCAAAAGTTTGTTCGGAGGTGGATGCCCGGTTTTTTCAGAGCTTGTCTGAAAATAAGTTTGGCTTTTCTTGGCAATCGTAGTCTTCCTCCAACACGGAAAGTGACGGGAGGTGTTTCAAAGTGTGCACTTCCGTTATTGTTGGAACATATACCAAAAATATTGGAACAGTTGACTAGCGGAGAGCCACAATTGAGTGAAATGGAAACATGTGCATTCAATGGTCCGTTGTCAATTAGTGGGTGAGTAATGGGTGAGTAAGAATTGGAGGCTGGAAGGTTCATCCTCATGGAGACTTGGGGCACATTCCTTCATACTGAGGTTGGGTTATGACGAGGATATGACCAGGAATTTTAGAGCTGCGTCGATTAATCATTTTGTTGGTTAGTTGGTTAGTTGGTTGGCTGATTGGTTGATTAGTTGATTGCTTAGTTAGTTGCTTGGCTGTCAGTTGGATTGTGAGTTGGTTGGTGAAGCAGTTTTGGCTGGTTTGGGTTAGATAGTTCTGCTACGCACTTCTACTACGAATATGGAGCCTACCAATTCGGCCTCAAGCTGCAGGTTCGCCAGTGCCAGAGCGCAAGGCGAGGGTTGCAGGGAATGCGGTCTGCCAGGGATCCAATTTGAAGTGATAAGGGGATTCCGCAAATTGCCGCAGTTCTAGGGGTTGATTCCCCATTCTTTTCAACCATCGTTCTTTTCAAACACCAGCAGTTTCTCGGGGTTTTTGATGGTTTCCAGAGCAGTTTTGCAAAGTGTGGTGAACAACACCTCCCACCAACTAAGGAAGCAGTGTGCTGCGCGTGTGACTTGTTTCAGACCCGGGGCTGGTTCAAAGACTGGATCCTGGTCTCAATCCGTGGCATGTCTGATCTTAGGACGAGGGGCAGACGACTTTTGGATCTGTGCCAACTTGGAAAGCAACAGAGTCCGGATCTTGTCACGCCACCATCTGTGCCACGGGTCACCACCCGAATGGAGAAAGGTGTGCCTGCAACATCCTGCAACATAAATCTTACGTTTGATTGGCGCTGTTTTGTAGCGGTGGCCTGGGAGCCCGTCGACGGCTCACAGAAGAGGCATGAAAACACATGAAAAGAACATGTGCAGAGCTGCCTTCTGCTTTGTAAACAGATCGCGCGGGTGGATATCCACTACTCCCAAGCCACGAACACAGGGAAAACGGAGTATAGTAGCCACTGCATTGCCGCAAAAGAAAGGGTACTTAGTATAAGCACATATGTATTCACATACCGACTGATACGTGAATCAGTGAATTTGAAATTTCCACTCGGCTGTCAGCCAAGAATGTTTGGATGATCGCACAGCAGCTGATTTTGGTAGCTTATTTTCGCCGTACTTCAACTAACTACACATGTAGTACAGTTATCATGCTTAGGCAAATGCGTCATCCACGCTTCGTATATGACGTTTTTTGTTTTTTCTGTATAAATCGGCATACGATGATATGTGTGTGTGCTAAGAACGCATATTCTCTCGCTTCAAGCGATTAGCTCTGAGACACACGGATTGCTTCAAGCGCTGCCCGGCACTCGGCGCTCGGCGCTCGGGATGGAGTTGCTGGAGCAGGGCCGCCGGCTCCTGCGGGCGCTGGACGCGAGCCTCGGAGAGCCGTAGGGGCTGGCCATGGAACCAGTGGGCCCCTAAATCGCCTAGGTCCCCAGTGCCCTTCTCTCCCCTTTTTGGGGGGGAGGGTTCCCCTACTAAAATAGACTACAGATAAAAGTTGGTAATTTTTGGAGGACCTAGTCGTCCAAACCAGGACCCAAAAGAAATGTCAAGTTCCATGTGGATGGGAGGGTTTTGGGGGGTCAGAACCAGTTCCATGTGAATCTGCAAAGAATTCGTGCCTTTGGTTTGCGGATGGTTCGGGGGTTTTGCGGCCTTTTCACGTGAAGCTGCAAACAATTGCCCTTGATGGGTGGTTTGAAGTGGTGCTTGGGGGGTTGAACCCCTAGATCCGTTTGAAGCCAGCTGCGGAAGGTTCCGTCCAAACGACCACATCAAGCCAGAAATGCGGGGTTAGCTGACAAGTATTTGGTCCCAATGTGCGGAAAGGGGGGGGCGCGTATCCCTAAAGGGACCTCTCCCCGCACTTTTTGTTTATGTTCGGGAGGGGTGTCTTGTGAAATGCAGAACTCGTTGCTCATTAATCCAGGCAGTCCCGGAGCCTCCCGGAACTGCTATTGGCTCAGAAACTTTGACTCGTGTGACTTGAGAAGCTTTGGGGCTGGGTGAAGAAGGAAGGAGCCTTGTTTTGACATGGAGCGCCAATTGGGCCAGGGGGGTTCTAAAACAATTCTGGGGTGGGAAGGTTCAAGTTTCCTGTTTGTCCAATGCCGAGAGCCACAGCAAGCCATGGAGCCCAACTTTGGTTTCAGGGTGGGGTCCTCCAGGCCCTCGCGCGTTCCGAGGAACCACGATGGGCGTTTGTCTGTGGAAGAATGCGCCCACCTCAAGGACTACATTGCAGATGGCAGACATGGGGGTGACACTTGGGTGTGGCGTTTTGTGAGGATACTGTTTGTGTCTTTTAAGAGGGTTTTTTTCAGCTGGAAAACCACCATTTTGGAGTGTTCCCCCCACGGGTTTATTGCTTTGGAGTTTCCAGTGGAAGCCCACTTTAGGGTTTACGTTTCGTTCACATGGAGCCCAAACAGCCATCTTGGTCTGTTTGGTGTCCAAGTTAATTTACTGGGAGTAAATGTGGCAAGGTGCCATTTGAGCGGGAACCTCTTTGGGGGCAACTCAATTTGATGTTCTCATTGGAGTGGGAAGCCCCTTTGGGGCTTGGTCCGTTTTGCCAAGGCTGAGTTTCCAACTGAATGCCCTCAGCAGTCGTAAGCCAAAGTCACCAATCCCCAATCTGCAAGTGAAACGCGGAACCTGAAAGGGAAACCTAAACAAGCTGAACCGGTTGGTCACCAACCAAGCTTCGGAAACAATGTGAGGTCCACTCCCCCCCAACAAACAAAGAACACAATTTGCACAGATTTATGCCAGGGAACTCATGAAAAATGGCCCGAGTCCACTACAAACCGGGGATGGCCAGTCTGGACTTCATCCCCAAGGCTGTCGGTGTTTTTTTTTCTGACTTCCTCCGGGCGTGCCGCTTTTAGAAACTCGGAGAAGCCATCGTTGATGTCCGTCAAAACGACACGTTATGAGGTCTGAAAACAGAGAGCCCTTCGTTGTGCTCCACACATGGATCAAAAAGAGGGCAGACGGACAAACCGCCGCAAGCACGTCTCCAGTTTTGGCCCGCTCGAATTTCTTAGGGCTCCCCCCAAAACCGGCGGGGAGGGGCTCAGGGGTCGGCGTCTCCAGGAAAGCGCCTGGCTATTCCCAGACGAAGGCTCTTTCCAGGCGGTGCTCGACCCTTTGGACTGCGCCTCGATGGAAAAGTCGGGCTTTGGATCGGGCACAGACGGCTGGACCGGGCGCACCTTTTCTTACATTGGGATCTCCTGGTTACTCCTGGTTACTCCTAAAATCCAAGTTACCTGGTGGTCTGGTTACCTAGTTAGGCAGGTTATCATTATAGCCTTATAGCCATTTTAGTGCGTAACCAGAGTTCTCCCTCATGTGTGTTTTTAAGGGTGGCATGTCTGGTTGGCTGCTACGGTGGTAACTGGAAGCGCCGGGTTAGTTGGTATTTATGGTGGGTTGGATACTTTTGGCCCGAGAATAACCGTTTTTTCTCCAGTTTCTGGACTTCGGACTCTTCGTGGCAGGCCAATCCCCGCTGGGGGGGATGATTCAACCGTACATCTCCGGTTGGTTCTTTGTTCCCTTGAGTGGATTGTGGTTGCCTTCAGCTAGTAGGTCCCATGTTGAATGAAGGTAATTAAGGCACTGGCCCCCCACCAAAACAAAGAAGCGATGGTTTTGTTGGGGGCTTTTTGAGGGATTAGATGCTTTGACTTTGCTTGGAAGCCCTCTCTTTCTGGGATTCTCTGTTTACATGAGTCAACATTGTAGTTTACAGTTAACATTTCAAGTTGGAATACGGTCAAGAATCAAGCTTATTTTGTTGTTGGGAGGTCAATCTTGAGGTAGTTGAGGCACACAGTTTCCCCCTTGTTTGGCTGCAGCTTTGCCCAACTGCAGACGTAGGCAATCTGGTGGATGCCGACCTCTTGTGGTCCCTCATCTCAGACAGGCGCTTTGTGCGATCTCGCGACCCGGGAGTCGTATTCTCGAGAATGGTAAGATAGAATCCAGATCGGCTCCGTTTGTTTTGTTTCTTCTCGTGGCTTCCGAAGTTCATCCCTGTTGGTACACGATTGTAGCACTCCTTTCGTCCTGGTTTTCTCGTCAGGGGTGAGGTGACAAAAGCGGTGTGTACCAAAAATGCGGTCTGTTGGTGCCTTGTCTCTTAGTGATTTGCCCAGGAATTTACTTGCAAGATTCATACTGAACCCACCAAACTGTCATTGCTTAGAGGAATCGCCCTTGGGGGATTCTTTTAATTGTTGGGTTGCTTCCGTTTCTTTGTAGGCCAAGCTGTTGCTCTGTAGGATGATTCACCCTGCCCAGCTGATCCCTTTTCGCTTTCCCGATTAACTCATGGGCTGCAGGATGCCCCGACCGCTCAACTGGGTTGCGCCAACCCGCTGCAAAAGGAAAAGGGCGGCCCTTTTTCCCCCTGGCCGCTTGAGGGAACATATTCGCACGGAACTCCACAAAAAAAATGCTCGGACCCCTGGTCAAACATGTGCGCACCATTGAAGTAACCTAATTTGGGTGTCCCTCGCTTCCCTTCACAACCGGCCAAAAGACAGTTCCCCAACAACAAGACAACCGCATATCAGGGGATAATGGTTTGAACCAAGTAAGATCCATCTCTCGCCACTCGCTCAAAGCGCGGGACATGGCTCGTTTTCTCCTAATCTGGGTTTGGTGGTGAGACTTTTCAAGGACGTAAGGATTACAAGAACACTTCTGGCTTCTGAGCACGGCAGGGCATCCAAAGGCGCGTTGCGCCACACCTCGTAATTAGAAGGCATCACTGCCAGGCGAGTTGTGCCTCGAGCTCGATCAACGACCACCGAAGGAGATGAAAGGGTCTCCTTTGAGGGTAATTACCCTTCTGAGGCCACCATCTTTGAGGTAGCCTAGGTAACCAGAGGGAGCCGAAGCCGATGTAGGGGATCCTATTTGGGGGCCAGACTCTTTGATGCACCTAGCCCGTGGTATGGTATAGTTATGTTTGGCCAAGCTCTCCCCACACACTTGGAGAAACAACCACCAGATGGCCGGATGTTGTTTTCTGCTCTTTTGCGGTTCGACTTGTTTTTTCTTGAATTCCTTACTCTATGTCCAATCAATTCACCTATCACACACCCTTACTCCCACTAGCATGGCACCTGACACCCAAGAGGAAAAGGATCTTGGAGGTGCCCTCCCATAGGTGCCTTCTGTTAGTGGAAGGGATCAAAACCCATGGTAACATTTTGGGGTAGGTGCACCACCTGCACCTACCCATCTTGGTCTATTTTCGTGGGGATTGGGATGTCTGGGGCTACGATTTGGCTTTTGACCCATGGCCACTTGTGGGGGT